TGAGCCGTCTTTCTTCTTTACAAACAAAACAGATGCACCCCATGGTAAGGTACTGGGTCTGATGAACTTTTTGTCTAACAGTTCTTGTAGTTGCTCTTTCAGTTCTTTCAGTTCAGTTGGAGCCATTCGGTAAGGAGCTTTAGAAACTGGCTGTGTTCCGGGAACCACATCAACGGTGAATTCAATCTCCCTGTCAATCAAATCTCCTGGAAGATTATCTGGGAAAACATCTAGGAATTCTCTGACTATAGGAATACAGTTCACATTAGCATTATCATCAGTAGACACAGTCAATACAGAACACAGATATCCCTTACAGCCCTTTCTAATCAATTTAACAGCTTTCACAGATGAAATCAGATATGGGGGAGGTACTACTCCAACCCCATTAAACACAAATTTAGGTAGACCAGGCGGATGGAAAACTACTTGTTTCGTTACACAGTCTATGGTGGCATGATATTTCGTTAACCAGTCCATCCCCAATATTACATCAAAGTGATCAATGTTCAATGGCAGTAAATCAATAAACAGAGGTGCATCTCCAACAATAATTTCACAAGAAGGATACATGTATTCACAGGTCATAGATCCCCCAACGGGTGAGGATACAGCTAACAAATAGTTCGTAGGTTCTAAGGGTCTATTCAATTTACGCGAAAAAGCATGCGACACATAAGAATACGTAGACCCCGAATCAATCAGTACATAAGCATTCTAAGTACAAATAGAGAGAATACCTGACACAACGGTCTCGGTATTCTGGACATCTCCCGGTACTAGGGCGAACACTCGGCCCTGCCTCATAGGCTCTTTCCCGGTAGCTTTGGGGTTCGGTTTCGATGTAACAGTTGATGCCGCTACGCTTGGTGTAGCTTTACTACTAGTTTGTGGAGCAGAGGGACAGTCTTTAACCATGTGGCCCACTTTGCCACACCTATAACAGGCTCCTGATATCTTATAACAAACTCCCTTGTGATTTTTACCACACTCAGAACAGGGCAGTATTGTACGGTTTCCTTGACTAGACGTAGTCGTTGACCCCGTATTCTGTTTCTTGTTCAATGGACTATGCTTGCCTTTCTTGAACTTGAAACCCTGTCTTTTACCCCGCCATTCAGGCGCTGGCGTTTCAGTCTTTAGTGCTTCAATGTTCGATTCAGCCATCAAGGCTCGGTCAAGGACATTCACGTAGTTCGGTAACTTCAGTACATTTATTCGGTCAAGAATTGCAACATTAAGGCCGCCTTCAAATTTTTTGGCCTTCTTATACTCAGTATCCACCATATGCGATGCATATCTAGCAAGCTCGGTGAATTTCGTCTCATATGCAACCACAGACATTGCTCCTTGTCTCAGCTGTTCAAACTCAGTTACTTTTCTGTCCCTAACACACTGAGGGAAGTACTTTTCAAAGAAAGGCTCCTTTGAATTGAGCCCAAGTCAGAACGGTATTTTCATCACGGATGAGCATCCACCACCTTCTAGCTTCTTCTTGCAATGTGAAGGTGGCAACAGTACCTTATGTGCTTCAGAGCACGAAAAACCTCAAATAATTTTTTGGTTTCCAGAACCAAGCTTCAGCTTTTAACGGTTCAAGGCTCCCTGAAAGGATGGCGGTTTCATTTGGCTGAACTTCTGGGTCAGAGCAATTATATCCCCATCATTAGCATTCACATTCACATTTTGTTCCGGTACAACCGGAGGAAGAGGAGGTAGGGGCTGTTGATTCAGTTGTTGGTCCAGTCTTGCAGTTATCAGTTCCATCATTTGTTCCAGTCTGGCCATTCTGGCCTCAGAGGATGAGGTTCCAGTTTCATTTGCAGTGTTTGCATTATCCATTTCACTATAAGCAGTTATAACCGTTTTAAACATAAGCAGTCATTTGTTTAACAGTTTAACACGTTAGCATATATTCAGTCATAACATAACCACACACTTATCATGCTCATGAGATGCCCTAATCACTTTTCTAGGACACCCTATAGCTCATTTGGACACTGTATGCGGTATAACTCGTGGTAAGTATCGCTCTGATACCACTCTGCACGACCCAAACCCGGCCCTATGGGTTTAGCACCGTAACCGCCCAGTAATCCAAGATTACCGAAGGCCTGCAGAAAAGTAGAACAGTAAAACAGAGTACAGGGCCTGGCGGAAGCCAAAACAGTAAATAAACAATGTCCAATGAGCTGTGACAGTCTGTATGAAAAAGACTTTTCATACATTTGTACATAGACAGTGCAGAACAGTATGCACAATATTTACAATCATTCAGACTAGGGACTTCATCCCTTACATAACAGTACTAACATGCAGTCTATACAATCCATTCGTTATTACAAAACAGTAAGACAGTACAGAAGGGGAATTGTAAAACACCCTAAGCCTTAACACGATAGGCTCGGAACCTCGCAGTGAGGCACATAGGCTGGCTTGACAAAACTGGAGTTAGCCTCGACGCTCCTAGCTGCGGTCTGGTGCCTGAACACCTACATATATATATGAGCAGTAAGCTAAAGCCCAGTGAATAACATAATGCGTAAAGAGGTTAAGAATGAATGTCCTTACAGTATGAAAACAGTTCAATTAAACAGTATTTCAGTTGTTCAGTCAGTCAGTCATATGTGTACACCATTAGCATAACAGTACAGTAAGCAGTAGGTCTTAAAAGACCGAACAGTAATGATGGCCATCAGTCAGTAAACAGTAGTGGTTCCAACAAGGGAACCGACAGAGAATTCTATCACAGTAACAGTAAACAGTAGGTGCTAAGGATGCCACAATACAGTTCAGAATATAGGACATACATTCATTCAATTAACAGTAATCAGTTCAGAAAACAGTACAGTTCAGTTGTTCAGAAGATAATCATTTGTGAACATATCTTTACAACATCGTTACTCACAGAGTTTGGGCTACGGTATGCTAGAGCGTGCCTCCCCAGTCGCCAACCCTACACAGTTAACGATTGAACACACTAAGCTACACAGCTGGGAAAGATAGTAACTTAACCCCTAATGCCTCGGTGTGTTCTACATCTATATCTCAGTAAGATGCCTTAAACTAGGCCTAAGAATGCCTAGAATGGGATGAGGATGCAGGATGTACTCAAAAAGCAGTTTCAGAAGTTCAGAAAAACAAGTCCCACTCGAGCGCAGGTTTACCCGCTCGAGCAGGACATGCAACAAAGGTACACGCTCGAGCGTCAACTCTCCCGCTCGAGCGTACTGTAAAAGTCTGGATGGGTGAAATCTCCGCTCGACGGCGCTCGACGCCCGCTCGATCGTGAGACACATGCCTCGCTCGAGCGCCCAATCCTCCGCTCGAGGACTGTAAAACAGTGCAGAGAAATACTGGATGCTCGGATTCCACGCTCGAGCGCCTCACTGTCCCCGCTCGAGCGGAAGTGCAAAATCTGGAAAACCAGATTGCATCTCCAAGCCAAAACACAAGTTTTAACAACTCAAAACTCGACTCTTGGTGAATTTCCAGAAACATTTGTAACACACATGGAATAACATGTTCAAACTAATTTGAGAAATCAAAGCCCAAGGGTGTTTAATTCAAACTCAATTTCAACCATTTTTCAAGAACAAACCTCAAACATGACATGCATGATCTTCAAATAACTTTCAAGCTTCAAAACATGCTCTAGCAAGCCAATTGATTCACAAACAAGATGAAACATGGCCTACACTCAAAACATGGAATGCATGTAACAATTTGCCATGAACTCAACTCAAAATCCAACAATACTAACATGCATGCATGAATTATGCTCTATTTCAACATACATGGACAATCAAGGCTCAAATCACTAGAGGCTCAAGACTAAGCATGAACAAGTTCAAATACATTACTAGAAGTTAAATTCTCTTACCTAAGTCTTGAATAATAGGCAAGGAAGCTCAATTATGCAAATTTATACTCCAATCCTCTTAATTTCCAGCAAGACCAAGCAAAGTGAGATGAAATCTAACTCTCTCCCTTATCTCTCTCTCTCTCTGGTCGGCAAAGGCAAGGAATGAGCTGAGTAAATGTTTTGTAATCATAAGAATGAGTCCTCAAAGTATTAAGTAAGTGACCCACTAGGATGGCAATTTAGTAATTAAGCCTAACTCTTAATTGGCTCATTTTAATCTAATTTAATCATACCAGATCAATTTTCGGATAACTATACCATAAAATCACATAAATTACAATGATCATAAAACATCAATCAATTTCCGGCTCGGCCGCCGATAAGGCCTCCAATTAGCAGTTTGAACATAAAACATGAAACAGATCAAGTAAACAATCAAACAGATAGAATACAGATCAACACACATACTCAGTCGATTCAGTTCCAGTTTTCAATCAGTCAGTTCAGTACTTTATTCAGCTCACTTATCAGTCATAATCAGTTCAGTTATTAGTCATAATCAGTTTAGTTATTAGTCATAATCAGTTTCAGTTCAACGGTAATCAGTGTTTATCGGTAAGCAGTGGTGAGGGTTATTACACGTGAACCTTTCATAGATCCAATAGCCCACACTCTTTCAAGACCATAATTCACCGTGTTCTCTAAGGCTGCAATCAATGAAAACAGTATGGAAAGTTTAGAAAGACCAGCACAACCAAAAACTCAAATTTATTATATTTTCAACAATGTAAACATAAAAACTAAAAAACTACTGTGTGAAATAAAATGAAATAAACTCAAATTTAGTTTGCTGGTGTATTTTTTATAATTTTACTTCCAAAAATTCAAACCAATTGAACACTATTCTATAAAAACTCCATCTTTACAAATAAGCTACAAAGGAATTTGCACCTTGCAAAGTGTCGCTACCAAGATAAAAAAAATTAACATTGCAATTGAAATTTATAAGATTGGTAATTATCCAGCTATATTTTGCAAGCAAAGTTGGTGGCAATGTGGCATATACGAACAGTACCATCCTCAGAACCAATAATTATAATGGGAAGTTCAAGGTGAAAACGAATAGCTGAAACGTTGTGGGTGTGTCCGTCTAGTGTCTGGACACAACTTTTGGTTTGATAGTCCCACACCAGTTTTCAAAGAATATAGCCAAAAATATTTTCACATTGTACATGTACATGAACCCAACAAGGAAGAAGAAGAAAAAGGAAAACAGGCAGCAAACCTTTGCACTATGATCATCAGAACCAGTTATAAGATAAGGCTTGTCACCACCTGTGAAGTAATCAACACAATTTACCCCTTTCAAATGGGCATCCAATGTAAAATTTGGGTCAGGAGAGCCAAGATTCCAAATCTGAAAAAAGAAAAAAGGGAAAACAAAAACAATTTATCAATGTGTGCATGTGCTTTAGACCAAATTATATGAAATTGTAGTTAACAAGTTAGTAATTAACAAGTTAGGAATAGACAATCCAAGTCATACCTTTATAGTGCAATCAAGAGATGCACTTGCAAATGTGTTGGTGTCTTTCGGATTAAATGTCACTTGCATAAGAGTTCCTAAGATCTTCGTTCCTTTTTTCTTGTTGAAAATTATCAGTGCCACTCATATCCATTTCTCCCCAACAAAATGGTAAAAGTAGCCAGCCAAAAATGGAGACCCCCAAAAGCGTAATTGCTCTCTTAAAGTTGTCTTTGGACAACAAATCACAAAATATGGAGACACCAAAAGCCCCAATTGTTCAATAGCCTCAACAAAGATTAAAGACTTAAAAAAACAAAACAAAAAAGAAGAAAAAGAAGAAGAAGAAGAAGAAGAAGAAGAAGAAAAAGTGGAAGACATCATAAATAACTATATCAACCCATCCCAAAAAAAAAAAAATTAAATTAAAACTCTTAAAAGAAGGGACAAGTGTGAACAAAACCAATAAACAAAGAAAGAAACTATGCAAGTTGTCTAAGCTAGATTGACCCTCTTATAAGCATTCAGATGCTTCTTCCATAATTTGTTGTCATCGTGGAATGAGTCAACAGTGACTCCAGGGACGGACCCACTGGCTATCCTGGGAGGAACACTATTAAGTCTATCTGGAAATGGTTTCAGTTCACCACCAGCAACTTCATCTGGACCATTAGTCGCTGGATAAGGAGTTACACAAACCTCCATCTTCTTGTACCTATACAGGACAGAAAGCGTAACAAATCAGAAAATGCGCAAATCTCTTAGAAGATTTGTTTTATTTCAAATTTCTTAAAAAATCTTTCAAACTTATCGCAAGACAAAAAAGAAAGTCCTTAGACCATAATAAAACTGACTGCAAATCTACAGGACTCATGAACTCCAAAAGGGAAGGCAAGCAAACCATGGCATGAAACTTATCCGAGAGAGACACACTCTTACATGAATTTGATGCAAGAAAGATGCACAGCTAAAGAATACAGATACCAAAAACCAAAGTTCAGTCAATATCACTTGTCTAGTTACTAGTCAAAGAAGTAATGAACTACACAACCAGAAGAAAGTAGAGCCAAAAAATTGATAATTACAATATTGTACAAATTTCAGCACAGATTCATTTAAGGATTAGAAGGATAGTGCATCTAATCAATCAGAGCATAAGTTCAATAGTTAGGCCAATTAACATTCAAGAAGCTGGTAGAATACCTAAGAGTTATCAAGTTCAAACACATACCAGGCATCATCTGGATTTGTGGAGTCACATATAGTTGCACGAGATTCTCGCTCAGAGCAATACTCCTTGTTTACTCTTTTCCTCCAGATGGCAATTTCACCCTTCTCATGCTTCTTTTCCTAGCAAAGAAATTTGGCAATCTCTTCAATCTTCCTCTGTTCCTCCTCAAGTTCCTCTTTTGGGCGCTGCCATGCTTCATAATTTACCCTCCAGTTCTAAGAACTCGATCAACTTCCATCATGTACATTCCATCTGCAAAGACAAGTCCAACAATGTTGTTTACAAACATGTACACTTAAAAGTATATCCATAATATATATTATATCAATCACTCACTCAAAAGGAAAATAAAAGAAGAAAAATTGTGATCATTTATCAAGACCCATACTTGATCATTAGAATGCACACCCAAAAAAATAGAAAGAAAGAACATCATTAGAATAACAGTGTCGTAATTTTGGTTCGTGAGTCTGCAAACTAGTCATTCTAACACATCAAAATCTTATATGATCCACTCATTTTGAGTTAGGCTTTGCACAGAAGTAGCTTTTGAACTGATCTGAACCAAAACTCAAGATTAATGTGTCTAAACAGGCACACCTAGACACATTTCTGGTTATATGCTCCACACATGAGCTCATCGATATATCACTACATATGCTCATTGACATCTCATTACAGAGATACTAAAGTGCGAAGCTCATTAGCAGGAACAACTAATTAGCTAGCAATGCCATAGGATCTAAACATTAGACAATTCTATTTATTTATTGATAATTTACAAAATGATGTATATTGTAAATATTAGACTCCAGTCATTCATCAAAATTGAGCCAAACCTATGTTAGTGATAATAATGATTGATGATCAAAGCCAAGCTTTAGCATCTTGGCCCATCAAAGCATTTTTAATCCTAAAAATAACTAGACAACAGGCAAGGAAAGTCTTGGTTTTGCTACAGCTCACTAGAAACCACCCACGACACAAAATAGCACAAAGAAATCTATTGAAGTAACTATACTCACCATTTCCACCCCATGGAATCAGGCAACGAGAACAGTGAGCCATGTCAAATGCTCTTGGTGGGTATGGTAGCTTTATTGTTCCAAGAACACCTATAATTGCTGGCACGCCTCTTTCCAAAGCAAATTGAACTTGTGCTTCATGCGAATCTCTTGGTGCGAATGACATAGCTATGACATTTTTTTGAACAAGTATGCACCCCAACTTGCAACCTAACAGCAATAAATAAATAAACAATATATATAAACTATAAAGTCACAGGCCAGACAAAACAAGCTGCACGTCAAGGAACTCTATAGATTAATATAAATCTTATTAAGGGAAAAAAGAAAATTAAACCCCTAATAAAAAGAGGAGCATGTCTGTATACATGAACTCGAAAAAAAGGGTTCAATTAAGCAATAATGGGTTCAATTCAAAGCATAAGCACATATACACAAGGTACGAGAAAGAAATAATCACTTACAAAAAATTAAATAGACACTTTCAAACTTTCACATAAATAATTTTATAAAATTAAGCAGTAACAGCCAGATGACCATTATACATAATACATAATACAAGACGTGTGAGCTATCTACATTCACACTCTCTAGGGTTTTACTCAAATTCAAGCACATTCTGAGAAATGCATTCCAGAAAACGAGGTTCCATGATTTCAACCCATACCCATAACAAGATACTATGCAAACAACTACCAAGCCAGCTTAATCTTATCCATGTTATTATAGAATATAAGAACACATCTGCAAGCTCTGAAGACTGTTACGAATGAATGTTCTTTCTCTCTCCCATAGCTTTGGTCTAGTTACGAGGCTTCAAATTATTTTGAAACAAGAAAACAAACAAAAAACAACACTACAAGTCTACAATATTTAACCCTATTTTCTGACATGACTTTTGAAGTAAAGAAAGCTTTGATTAAAAATAGAAAACTCACCCATTTGACAAATAGATTTTTCTTTGCCATCTCTGTGTGCAAAATAGATTTTGATTCCTCATCAAACACCATCTCCTAAACCACAAAACCAAACCCAATAATAATTTAGTACAACAAAGATCAATTAATGAAAACAAATAATATAGGTAAAGATTGTAAAGATGAGAACTTGAAGGCCATCTTTGGCAGCAATGGCAAAAGGAGGAGTAGTGAAGAGAGCGAAACCCATAGGATGTTCACCTTTGCAGTTAACCTACGAAGCCTCGTAATGAGGTAACCATCTGAGAAGGTTCTGGAGTTCTCTCTCCATCACGTCCTCGGAGAGGCCCCATATGAAGATCGTTTGAACCTAGAAACCATCTAATGGATCTACTAATGATTTGAAAATGAATCGATCGAATTGATGAGATGAAATTGAAAATGTACCTCGTCGTTGGAGAGGCGATTAGGGTTTTCCATGGGCATGGAATGGTGGTGAAGAGGAGGAGCAGCCGTGGGAGTAGGAGGAGGTGGAGGAACAGCCCCTGGCGGCCACTACGGATGGTAGGGGTGGATTTTTGATTGTTTGAACCTAGAAACCAAACACAGTGATGAATCAAATGGATCTACTAATGATTTGAAAATGAATCGATCGAATTAATAAGATGAAATGAAAATGTACCTCGTCGTTGGAGAGGCGATTAGGGTTTTCCATGGGCATGGAATGGTGGTGAAGAGGAGGAGTAGCCACGAGAGTAGGAGGAGGTGGAGGAACAGCCGCTGGTGGCCACTGCAGATGGTAAGGGTGTATTTTTTATAGGGTTTTTTTTTTGGGAGGGGACGGGGGAGAGGGAAAAACGAGCGTGAAGGGAAAAATAAAGCTGAGCACTCAGATTGTTTTTTTTTTTTTTTTGCGACGGTAGTTCATGCCGTCGCAAAAACTTGCTTTTTTGTGACAGGAAGTAGTGCCATCGCTTAAACCCGATTTATTGGCGACAGCAAGTGGTGCCATCGCAAAAACTCACTTTTTGCGATGAGAATAGTGCTGTCACAAATACTTCCGTGTTATATGCCCCTTTTTCTTGTAGTGAATTAAGTCAATTTGATATTTCTAATCCCTTCAATTTATGGTGTCTGTCCAAAAAAAAAAATGAATAATCTATTTTTAAAAACTAACTTATGAACTATTTTATGGAGACAAATATAATAAATTAAATAAGTTACAATTATTTGATCGAATTAATATATATATATATATATATATATTATAAATGACATAAACGAAGGACTTAATAAAATGAACGATTTAAATTATTAAAACAGAACTCATAATAAATCTCTTGGACTCGGACAATACTCTTCAGTTCAATCCTTAACTTTTATAAATAAGAATTAAATCAAGAATCTAATCAATTACACAAGTACATAAAATTCAAGGACTATGATTTTCACTACAATAATAATAATAATAAATTTATAAGAGATATAAATATATCTGACCCATTCAATTATAAATGCATAAAATTAAAATAACATTTAAAAAGTACAAAAATACTAAAATATCACTAACAAGTGATTAGTATTTAGTGCATATACTTGATGCATTCATGCATGTAGTGGACATATTTCAAGGCCATATTTTTATTTTTTTTTATTGATTTTTAGATTAGGGTGAAGGGCATATTAATGCTACAACACTACTATTGTATGGATTAAATTATGCAAGGACATGTAGGTGTGAGTTTCAAGATGTGGTTATTGAGAGGGTAATTTGTGAACAAATTGGGCCAAGCTAGGACGGGTCGAGCTAGGACGAGCCTTCGTTGAAAGTTGGACCGCGCAATGGGCCAAGGAGATATTTTGTTTTTCGGCTTTGGGCCGAGGTAGGTACCAGGATGGTTGGATATGTTACTGGAATTGGGACCTATCTACCTTTTGACCAAGATGATAGCAGGGCGATGGGCCGAGCTGGGTGTAGCTCGGCAGGATGCCAACCTATGGCA